GGTAGGTGGATCTCTCTGCCAGCCTAGTCTACAAAGTGAATTCCATGACAGCCAGAGCTACAGAGAGAGACCCTGTCTCAGAAAGCAAAGCAAACAAAGAGTTGAATAAAGAGGCTGTGGGTGACGGTCCTTGCCTTCAATCCCAGCGCTGGGTGGTGGGCTGATGGCCTACATAGTTCCAAACCAGTGAAGACTGCATAGTGAGATGTCTCAGAGAGACAGAGACCTGAATGAAGGAGGAGGAAGAGAGAGAACCAAAAGAAGAAGAGTTAAGAAGAATTCTGAGGGTCTGGGAATGGCTCAGTGTGTAAAGTGCTTGCCACAGAATCATGGTCCCTAGCACCCATATAAAGGCTAAGCATGACACAATGCTGTGGAGGCTGAGACAGGCAGATCCCTGGGGCTTGCTGGCCAGGAAGTTATCAGAATCTGTGAGCTCTGGGTTCAGTAAGAGACACTATCTCAAAAGTAAACTGGAGGATGATTAAGGAAAGCATCAGCCTCTGGCTTCCATTCGCACGGGTAAGCACGTGCACCTACACACGTGTAGACATATAAATGTGCATATACACAGATGAAAAATGATGAGAGACTAAAATTGAGAAACCAAGTGCCCTTGGGGGATCCTCCCACCAGATTTCCATATACAGTTTAGTGACTGTATTTTCTGTGTAGCTGTCGGAACACCCAGACTACATGAGTGAGGCTTTTCAGCTGTAAGTGGAGCTCCCTGCTGGGGCATTTTCTCTAGTAACCTGTCTCTTTTTCCCACAATCAGGTGAGAATGAAATTCTGGAAACTCTGCATGCCATTGCAAGCAAAAACCAGATCTGGAGATCGTATATTGGCATGGGCTATTATAACTGCTCAGTGCCCCAGACCATTTTGCGGAACTTACTGGAGAATTCTGGATGGTAATGTATTGCCTCACTAGAGAACAGGACTGCTAGACTGGTGGTCCCTGTGTCTCAGAAATCTCACACTGATGCCTGCCCCCTGCTGCTCTCTAAGCTCCAGGAATCTACCTGCCTTCTCTAGCTAGGAAATTCATTGCAGGGTGTTGACCATAGATTCTTTTCCTTCTCATTTCCATAAAGTCCAAAGCCAATGGTCTCTTCTGTGACAATCTGAATCTCTATGCCACTTTTGAACAAGGCTTCATTCCTCTTTGGTGACACCCTGGGGCTTTTTAGACTGTGTCTGAACTTAGTCACTCAGTATTGCAGCCTGGGAAACAATCTTGGGCTTTTGTCTTTTGCCAGCGTTTTCAAAGGACAATACTCATGTTCCTCTTCTCCCTACATTTCTTGGTCCCTATCCAATAGAAATGAAGTGACATAGTCTCAGAAGAATGGACACAGTAACATCAGCTTTATTGGCGGCACTTTATTGAGAAAGTGAACGTATGTCTGTGGACAGGTCTGCTCTTGTACGGCCACCTTCTTGTTCCCATCTCACCTTGCCAATCAGATAATTCATTTCCACCCCTGGGAGTTCTGTGTGTCGGAAGACGATCCCAGGAGTCAGTTCTCTTCTGCCATGGGATCTGGGGATGGAACTCAGGTTGTCAGGTTTGTCCAGAAAGCTAGTTATCCCGCTGAGCCATCCTGCTCATTTTGCCTCATCTTTACAGGAACCCATCTGTTCGCACCCTCATGCCTGCCCTCCACCCCATGTGGAGATGCTCACTGCAATATATTCTATTTCCTTATTAATAAGAGAACAAGAAAGCAGGCCCATCCACAGAGCGAGTGTTTCAGTTTCCCGGAGATGCATGAATGTGCTTTGTGAGTGTATTTGCATTGCCGAGGCTCTGGTGAAAGTTTGCATGGTAAACTCTAAGGTTGATTTCAAAAACAAATAGCCGTTCTCTCTCCCCGCTAAAAATCAAAGCCTCTTAACTGCCCATGAATGGGCTGCAGCATTCTCTGTCTGAGCTCTGCCCTGTGGCCTTTGCTCTTAGTGAGCATACAGAATATCTGCCATATTTCTGTCTGGCTGTATGCTAGTTAATGTGCGGGTAGCCAGTGTTTTGAGAGGGAGACAATACTCTGTCTTTTCAGTCTCTGGCTTTGGGTGCATTTTAAATATTGCTGTTTTGCATTACCCAGAAGCTGCTCTGAACCCTAGCGGGATCCTGCACCCTGCCCTGCTGATAGGCAGGGCTGTGAGCACATGGGTGGGAGACTTCACTTTATACTTCTGAATGGTTTCCATAGCGATGGAGCCAACAAATTCCGGTGACGTGAGGTGAAAATAAATGGGTCACATAGACTTGAAAGAATACAAACATTTGGGCTCTCAAAAGAAACTGTACGCTGGGTCTAGAGTCTGTCTCATGTGGTCCACTATCCCAAAATCTCAAATGCCCATAACATCAATAATGAGTACCGACATTTGCATTTTCCTTGTGGCTTTCTGGTTTTTATAATCTTGGCAGTAAGATTATATGAGTTTTATGAGCCCTCCTGAAAGCCCCTTACTTTTTCCCAATTCTAAAAGAAAGTAATAACCAAAATGATAGAGAAAACTGATTATTTTGAAATAAATGCCAATATCATGTCCAGTATATTACCAAGGAACCTATTTCAGAACTGTAAGCCTTCTTAGATATGGAGATACTTTTAAAATACATATATTAAAATGCATCTAGAAGAAAACCATTTGAATTAATGTCAATTAAGACATAACCATGGAGCCGGGCGGTGGTGGCACATCTTTGATCCCAGCACTCGGGAGGCAGAGGCAGGCGTGGATCACAGCTACCATTCTTTCCTCTGTTAATTCTTCCTGGAACCTGAGATTGAACACTTATCCTCACACTTGTCACTGTGAGGGACCACTGAGCAACTTTTGCACTTCCTCAGATAATTTTTTTGTCCATTTTTATTATTTGTTTTTCAAGACAAGCTTTCTCTGTAGATTTTGGAACCTGCCCTGGAACTTGACCTGTAGACCAGATCAGGTTGGCCTCGAACTCACAGAGATATCTGCCTGTGTCTCTGTCTCCTGAGTGCTGAGATTAAAGGCATGTGCACTACCGCCCAGCTCAGACAATTGCTTTGTTTTTGTTTTTGTTTTTTCGAGACAGGGTTTCTCTGTGTAGCTTTGGAGCCTATCCTGGAACTTGCTCCATATACCAGGCTGGCCTCAAACTCACAAAGATCTGCCTGCCTCTGCCTCCTGAGTGCTGGAATTAAAGGCATGTGCCACCAACGCCCGGTCCAGACAATTGTTTTTAAACACATTTTTCTTTGCTGTATATATGACAGCAGCTCTTTGGTAACATCTTTTAAAATCTTTTTTTTTTTTAATATGTTAAAAATAATTTAGTTCTGTGTGGGTGCTTGCCTGAAGGCCTTTCTGCTCCACACGAATGCCTGGTGTCCACAGAAGCCAGAAGAGGGCATAAGATCCTTTTGGAACTGGAGTTACAGAAGGTGTGAGATATCATATCAGTTTTGGGACTTATACCCTGGGCCTCCTGAAGAACAGCCATTGAGTGCCCTTAACTGCTAAACTGTCTCTCCAGGCAGCCTTTGATAGGGTCTCACTATAACCCTGATTGTCCTAGGATTTGTTGTGTAGGCCTGGAATTCTCACAGATTCTTCCACCTCTGCCTCCCGAGTGTTGGGAATAAATGAGTGCCATCATGGCTGGCTTGGTAGCATTTTTAACCCTTGAAATGCAGGTTATTCTTTACTTCCTTTCAGAGGCCATTGCTAAGAAAAACATGTATGCCTGTAATATCTCCCCTGAGTAAAAAACAAAAACAAAAACCTGTAACTATTTTAAAAGTTAAGCCAGGCATTGGTGGCACACGCCTTTAATCCCAGCACTCGGGAGGCAGAGGCAAGTGGATCTCTGTGAGTTCGAGGCCAGCCTGGTTTCCAGAGCGAGTGCCAGGATAGGCTCCAAAACTACACAGAGAAACCCTGTCTCGAAAAACCAAAAAATTAAAAGTTAAAAAAAAAAAAACCCAAGAAACAAACAAGCAAAACACATTTTGGCATTTTGATAGGTTTTTTTGTTTGTTTCTGTTGTTTTGGTTTTTTTTTTTCTTTTTTCTTTTTTTTTGGTTTTTTTAGAGACAGGGTTTCTCTGTGGCTTTAGAAGCTGTGCTAGAACTCACTCTAGGCTGGCCTCGAACTCACAGACATCCACCTGCCTCTGCCTCCCAGGTGCTGGGATTAAAGGCGTGTGCCACCAATATCCGGCTAGTTATTTTCTTAAAAAACTTAGAAATTTTCATATGTATGTGTTTGTGTTTGTATGAATAGGCCTCATGTAGCTGGCTGCTAATCTTGACAATGTTTCCACCCTCATTACCCTCTGTATATTTGTTCCAGATAACAACTGTCTTGCCTCTTTGAAAGATTTAGGTTTGGTGGTGGTGGTGCCGTCCTTTAATCCCAGCACTCAGTAGGCAGAGGCAGGTGGATCTCTGAGTTCAAGGCCAGCCTGCACCTAGAGAGTGAGTTCCAGGACAGTCAGGGCTACAAAGAGAAACTGTCTTGAAAAACCAAAGGGAAAAAAAAAATTAGATTTAGCTGGGTGTGGTGAAGTATGTCTTTAATCTCAGCTCTGAGAATTTAATCTTTTGATTTGGAAGCCAGCCTAGTCCACAGTAGACAGTTCCAGGCCAGCCAGAACCACACAGTGAGACCCTTTCTGCAAACAAAAAACAAACAAACAGAAAGAAAGAAAACTTGTCCATGGGATAATGTTAACTGAAGAAAAAAACAAGACCTCACACAGACTACAGTTCTGCTTCTTACAAGTGTAAATATGGTTATTATGTGGAATAGAAACTGCAAAGGACACCTAAATGCTGACTGAGTTATCTTGAAGTTTGGGGATTTGGGATGCTTTTGCTTCTCCAACCCATTCCAATGAGCGTGTTTAATATGCAACAACAAAAGGTACTACAGATAGCAAATGTCTTTGACATTTGGGGCATGCAGTAATGAATTAAATAATTGTTTAGTGTCACCACACAGTGCTCACCTCTGCAGCACATATACTAAAAATGGAATTGCACAGAGAAGACTAGCATGGCGCCTGTGCAAAGATGACACACAAGTTGGTGAAGCCTTTCATATTTTAAATGACACAGGCTTTGGGCTTTTTGACTAAACCTCATTTGTTAATGTTCAATAACAAGCTCAAGTTGTTGGTCTGTTAGGTTGGGGAAGAGAACAAGATCACCCAGAGGAGAATCACTGTTTACCTTTTGGTTCATTTGCTTGCTTCTGTAAACTTACAGAAATGAGATATTTTATATTTTGCTTTTTAGGGTCTTTTATTCCTTTTATTTGTTTGAGTTAATACTCTGCTTTTAAAAATGAATATATTACAAACATTGTCTCACATCATGAATATTTATAGCATTGTTTTCACTGACTGCAAGCATTGTGTGCACATGGTTTAATTTGCCTCACCATTCCTCTTTTAACAGTCACATAGCTGGTTATTCATCTTTTTCTACAGTATTTATTACCATGCTGAATTCTTTGGGAATATTTCTCTCTCCTAGTATATTCTATTCCTGAACATATATTCAGTCTTTCCTATTCATCAGCTGGGGTGACTGGTATGTGCACTTATTCTTCTGTGGGAGTGTGTGTGTCTGACTACCTGTCTAAATCTCAAATGATGGCTCTGAACACAATCCAAGTGTCCTGCTGGGCAGTCAGTCTAAGCGTATGGCAGGGACAGTGTCACATCTGTCTTCATAATAGCAAGCTGCGTGTGATGATCTTGTCTGGCTGGAGATCACCACTGCCTCATTGTCTAGGCTCTTGTGTGACCTCCTTTCTCTCATGTTCCTTTCAAATTGCCTGCCCTGTGTATTGTATTGTATGAGTCCTTCGTTCCAGTTCACCACTCAGTTAGAATTTGCCTTTACAATTTTGAATCCAGGCTGTTGAGGGAATTAACTGAAGTAACAATGTGCTCTGCTGCGCGCACACACACACACACACACACACACACACACACACACAGAGAGAGAGAGAGAGAGAGAGAGAGAGAGAGAGAGAGAGAGAGACACCAGTAAAAGATTCAGAAAGTTATTTCAAAGTGCTGATGTAGTACTGTGTGCTAAGCCTGTCTTCAAAGCTAAACCATGTTAAATAAAGCCAACCTAAGCATGCTTTCAAAGCCTGTGTATAATTACCAGGACAGGAGAAAAAAGAAAAGGATAGAAAAGTCAAAGCCATAAATAAATCACTTAAAACTCTTTTGGTTTGGTGTCTTAGTATTGCTGGGATAAGACACCATGACCAAGGCAACTTCTAGAAGAAAGAGTTTATTTGGGGGCTTACAGTTCAGAGGGCGAGTCCATGGCCCTCATGGCAGGGAACCTGGCAGCTGGTGGCTAGGCAGGCATGGACTTTGAGAGCAGCTTATAACAAAACACATGCAGATGCCCTAGGGAAATAGCTCTGTCAAGTGTTTGCAGAGGATCTGTGTTCAGATCCCCGGAACCCATGTAAAAGCAACTAATCCCTGTACTGAGGAAGTAGGTATATCCCTGGATCTCACGGAGCTGAACTCCAGATTCAGTGAGCATTCGTGTCTCAAAAGATAAGCTGCAGAATAACCGAGGAGGACACCCAACATTAACCTCTGCCCTCCACATGCACATACAAAACACATCCGAAATACATGTGTATAATAAGATAATTAAAATAGTACTGTAACAAACTATAGTGTAGAGAGCGGGGCCTGATGGTGTACACCTATAATCCTAGAACTTGAGAGACTGAGGAGGGAGAACCAAGGCCCATTTAAGGCCAGCCTGATCTACCGAGTGAGTGACAGGTAGCCTGAGCTACATAGCAAGATCACATGTTTAAAAAATAGTAACACAAAATGTCAGGGGGCTAAAGAGCATGTGTTGCTCTTGCAGAGGGCTCAGATTTGGGTACCAACACCCACATGGTGGTTCACAATTATCTGTAACTCCAGTTCCAAGGGATTTGATAAGCTCTTCTGACCTCTGTGGGCAGTAGACACACATGTAGTGCTCATACACACATGCAGGCAAAGCATTCAGACATGTAAAGTGAAGCAGGTAAGTCTTAAAAACATGCCCAAAGAATAATATTGTTTCTATGAAAATTCCGTTCTTCCCCATAAAAACCCAAAGAAAGCATGCCATTTATTGGCTTTTTATTGCTGTGACCAAATACTCAGCGTAAGTAAGTTAGGGGTGGATGATTTGTTTTGGCTCAGGGTTTCATCTATTTGTTTAGTGTGTTGGGGGTGGGGGCTGTGCTCCCTGAGATCTGTGCCAGGGCATGCACATGGAGGTAGGGCTACTTGCCAAGTCAGCTAGCTATCTCTTACCATTTGGGTCTCAAGGATTGAACTCAGGTTGTCAGGCTTGGTGGCAAACACCTTTACCTGCTGAACTAGCACCTAGCCAGGTTCATCACAGATGTCAGTCTGTCATCATCGGGGAGGGAAAGAGCAGTTTGTGTCCTGGCAGCTAGGACCCCGCCTTCTTTTTTAATCCAATCAACCTATTGGACGGTGCTGTGCAATCCAGGGTGTGACTTTGTCCATGTTCTGGCTGGGTCTTTTACTTCAGTTTCCTTTCTGGAAACTTCCACACAGACACACTCAGAAGTGTTCTTTATTGATTTTTCTAAGTCCTATCAAATTGATCATCTCAGAATCTTACTGTTGGATGTGTTACATAATTCTCAGGAGATTTAGGCATTCAATTTACAAACAAAGGAATTTCATGCACTTTTCTGGATAGGAGAGGCACAGTTTGGACATGGTCTTTTGTTTTCTTCTCAGGATCACCCAGTACACTCCGTATCAGCCAGAGGTGTCTCAGGGGAGGTTGGAGAGTTTGCTCAACTACCAGACCATGGTGTCTGACATCACAGGTTTGGACATGGCCAACGCCTCCCTGCTGGATGAGGCGACTGCGGCTGCAGAGGCGATGCACCTGTGCCACAGGTGAGAGGCTCTGGGGGAGAGTCCTTCCAGGAGGAGGGTATCTCCTAGTCCCCAGCATCTTAAACTGTGCATTGCAACCTCATGTGGTGTTCCTTAGATAAATGTAGAGTTTGAAAAAAAAATTGTTTTCTGAATGTGGGGTGAAAGGGGAGTCCAACCTGAACATCTCCCAAGTGAAGGAAATGGAGAAGGCTTGTAGATTCAAAATACCTTTATTCAGATAAATACCAGCCAAGCGCAAGCCAGAGTGTGCCCAGAGGTAGCAAGGCAGGGAGGCCAGAGAGGGGCCCCCACGTGTCTACAGCACCTTAAGAACCTAACATGTGTCATCCTGACCTTCCCTTGACCGCGCCCTAACAGGGATGGTCAAGCACATCTGTAGCCAGCCCTTTGGAGGCGTGGTTATAGTGTCTCCCGACAGTGGGGCAACCAAAAATTAAAATAAAACACTGAGGTATTTCTGGTAGAGCTTGAATTATCTGACTTCATTGCAGCCTTGGTCCTCAATACACATGACACATGTACACTTTGTACCTCACATGTCTTCATGTCACACACTACCAACAAATGTTACCTGAAACATCTCAGCAAAGGTTCAAGGTTATTGCAAGTATTGCATGATATGAATTAGAGGAGTGAGGGTTTTGTTTTTGCTTAGTTTTTGGTTTTGTTTGTTTGTTTGTTTGTTTTTGGTCCGGCCTCAGGCACCCTAGGCTGGCTATATAGCTGAGGATGACCTTGAACTCCTGATTCCCCTGCCTCTACCTTCTGAGTCCCAAGTTTAGGATTATGGGAATGAGCCACCATGACAGACTGAACTACAGGAGGCAATCTGTGCACACTCACTCTCTGAGGCTAGGAGGCAATCTCTGTGCACACTCTCTGAGGCTAGGAGGCAATCTCTGTGCACACTCACTGATGCTAGGAGGCAATCTGTGCACACTCACTGATGTTAGAAGGCAATCTCTGTGCACACTCACTGATGCTAGAAGGCAATCTCTGGAAGTCAGTTCTCCTTCCACTCTGTTAAGGCAGAGTCTGTCTCGTTTTGCCCAACTGAGACTCTAAGCTGAAGTACCCCAGTGACAACGAAACTCTAAGATGGGTTATTTTAGAAGACTTTTTTTGGTAGTCATCTCAACTTCCTATTCTATCTAATACTTGCCCTTTTATCATGATATAGATTTTTTAAACTGAATTGACTTGTTAAATTGTGTAAGAACACAATTTAATTTCAGTGAGTTGCAGTCACGAACCACCAGTCATTAATCACTTGTTTCCTTTTACAATATTCTTCGATTTTCCCTCGCTGCTTAGAAACTCTGATTTTAGTTCAGGGAAAGTGGCTCAGATAGATAACTTGGCCTGGATTAATCCCCAGCACTACCCGTACTAGGCTTAGTGGCGGCACACACCTTCAATCTCATCTCAGCACTGTGGAGGCAGGAGAATCAGAAGTTTAATAGAGTTAGCAGCCAGGCTGGGATACCCAAGACACTGTCTCAACAAATAAAAAATAAAAGAAAAGAAAAGAAAAGAAAAGAAAAGAAAAGAAAAGAAAAGAAAAGAAAACCCCTGATATTTGGAAACTCCTTTGGAAATGTTCAAGTTTGAATGTGGTTTTTCTTTTCAACAGACACAACAAGAGGAAGAAATTTTTTGTTGATCCTCGCTGCCACCCACAGACAATAGCTGTTGTCCAGACTCGAGCCAAGTAATTGATTTCATTTGTGTTTTGAACCAAGGGTAATATCATGTGACCTCTACCTCATCTGTCTTCCCCGCTTCCAGTCTCCCTGGAGGTGAACTTGCTTTGCACTGTGTTTGCCGAGTTTTCTTTTCTTCCCTCCTTTCCTCCATGGACGTCTCTGCTAAGTACGTCGTCAATTCTGAGGGCCAAATGATCGGTGAATTTAGTAGCCTTTGCACCATAGCAAGTTACCATGCTATTCTGTTATCTTTTGGTAAAACTTAAAATGCTAACATCAGCTTGAGTCAGGAGGATTTTAAGTCTGAGGCAACAATGAGCCATGTAGTGTAAACAATAGATGTTGGGCCTATAGCTTAGAAGTAGAGCACTGGCCTCAGATGGGTGAGGCCCTGGGTTCTATCCCTGGCACCACGAAGGA